GTTCCGAAGGTTGCTTGCTAGTGAGTCCAATTAAAGACGACCCTTGAACGTCGCATCTAAAATGACAAAGGAATATCGGCTATACATATGAAGCGATGCAGCTAATTTGTACACAATACACAGCGATGCAGATCGTCTGGGGGTAGTCCAACAGTTCAGGTACCAGCATTCACTTTGAACAAAGATGGTTAACCCAATCGGGTTGGACCTCATGATCTGTCCTCAGTTGTGTAACAACCCAAACATCCTACGACCAAGCTGAGTCTCTCAAGCAGTGTTTTTGATTAAAATGCTTCCCGTAAGTAGTGGTGAAACAACTGTGGCCCAATGTTATGCTGGCAGTCAGTGGACCTCCAAAAATCTTCCTAGGGAAGTCATCCCAACACGCATTTCAGCGAGTGGAGCGCTTTCCCCGCACGTACTATTCTTCAGAACAATTACTTTCAAGCTGACGGACTAGGACCAGTATCCGCAATGACATGAGAGGTTTCTCACTGCTAGGAGACATGATGGTCGAAATGGCAACTTTGAACTTTGATTGGGGTCACAATCCTACAATCAAGAGTTTAAAACTTTGATTGGGGTCACAATCCTACAATCTGCAGTGTACTACGCTGGACCTGTTGTTCTTGAACGCATCCAGCAAACATGCAGTTCTGTCACGTCGCGTGAAAATGCTGTTCTTTCGTATTTCTGAAATCTCTACATGTTTTGATTTACGCAGAAGCAGTCACAAGAAGCTGTTCTTGGTATTCAAATACCTGATGAACAAAGCGGCCGTTACTTGAGTGGCCACTTGTTCTGGCAAAGCAACTTGCTACTTGGATACCCCATCTTTCGTGCTTGTTTTCACCGATCTTTTCTGAGTTGACAAGTCAGATTTTACGGAACATACAAAAGTAAAAAAAAGTAAGGAATAGTTTTCAAGGGATGTTAACTTTTCGATACCGCTCACGAGAGCGACCAACTGGTGGGCAAGAAGCGACTGTAACCCTCCTCAGTAAGCTTTGAAGGATGGTGAGTTGGGAGCAGCCTTGGAACTACTCGGTTAGTCCATACGTTCGGTGTGAGTAGTGGCGTGACATAAAGTGGATTACTTAGCACGGTTGACCAAATCTGATTTCCTTACGGATGTCTGGTGCTTTTAGGGTGCTAATAAACATCGTCTTGGAAAATTTACTGACATAAGAAGATCAGTTTTAGATACATTCTGAATCAGCTGTTTTGCAGAGGACATTAGATCCACATAACCAGTGTCTCTGTGTGGTGTCTTTCGCCCAGATCTATGACGCCTATCAGTTGACATGAGCGCATTCGGTCGACAGAAAGTTCAGCACTTCGCAGCCTACATCCGATGAAGCGAAGAGTACTGGGGTATGAGAATTTAAAGCGAATCTCACAATCGAAAATGAAGGACCGTCGGGGTTTTGGCGGTCAAACCCGTATTGACACGTCAGCCGTTTGCTGTAACCAGTCCAAGACGTGAGGATCAAATCGATTTAAATATGGGCGTAATTCCCACTTGCTTGGGACTGGGCAATGGCGCGTTTGTTGTGTACAATTTCTCCTAATTGGGTTCTGTATTCCGAGTGGGTCGCGTTTGTCTCCTGCTGCTCATGTGCATATGCGTCTTCGATTGACTGCTTCCGACGTTTCCCATTCGGTGAGTTGTAGTGGCGAACCCGCGGAACTTTCGCACCGGTTTTTGTTCGACACCAGGATTTCTCTACAAATACTTCCGACCCTGTTTCCGACTTCGTGTAGGCCAATTTGGTTGCAAAAAGGGCATTATTTTGCCCATTGGCTGGTGGCTTATTTTGGCTATATTACCACAACAGTATATTCCCGGATTAAAACTACCGGTGTGGCTGGCTCATCGCTACTAATCAGATGATCAGTTGAACGCTGATATGACGCCTCTGGTACTTTCGTTCATTTGTGATTCCAGTTCGTTTGCCCCCAATGAGATCAGTCATGGTAATTCGAAATTTCAGCAATACATCTTTGTTCACACGGGAGTAGTTACCGCGGGAATATGTTTGGCCTTATAGGTAGATACTAGTGGAGCACCGGGAACTTGATCCTGTTGAAATATGACGGTGCAAGTATTTCGAAAAGCTGTACATTCAGTTCCGAGTTTGACAAGATGACTCCAAATTTTTCTGAGCTGGAATGGGCACCATTTTGTGAGCGAACCTGATGCAGTTTTGTTGCATCCGCACCAGGATTCACAGTGAATGAGTGACAAAGCGGCTTATATTTACCACCTGTTCTAGTGACCGAAATTTCGCGTCATCAGAAAACCAAATTAATGAACAGCGCATCTACTCTTTCGCGTTCACTGCGGTAGAATCATGCGCCCCAACCTAACTGCCACTGTGGCGGCAACCCCCTGTGATTCTACGAACTCCGAGGCTCCAGTGGAATGACGACTGATTAGTTCAGTGCACGAGGTCGTATTTTAAGGAATTCTCACGGAGTGTAGAACACTTCACAATTCTGAATGGCCATTTGTTGGAGAAATGAAACTCAGTTTGAAAAAATGTGTCCATTAAAGGCGCTCATCATCATTATTGACAGCATGGCATCAGTGCTTAAGACCGGTGCTTCGCTGCCGTACAACTAAAGGCGCTAGAGAATATGGGGGCTCATTTTAAAGGACACCGGCCAATATGCGTTATGTCGATTAATGAGGTGACTGCTCACTGCGGACAAACTTACCAACAACTCAAGTATTATTGTCCGAAACTGCTTGGGGTCAAATCGAAGGGCGATGAGCATACCGATGAAGATTCCAGACTATAAATTATGCTTTGAGAAACTGACATCAGTCACTGAAGCAGAGATTCGTGTATCTTCAACAGTGATGTTTCTTAGAAAATAGGATGGTTTATCGCCAAATCACTCGTTTATGGTGTCCCTCAGATTATTTGTCAAGGTTACTTATTGTTTCGGTTGGTGCGATGTGCGGAATATCGTAGTAAATTTTCTCGATGGTACATGTTACTCGTATGGTTGCTGGAGGCGCGCAACTGGTCTCGCCTCGCCCTTCTTGGGGCTCATCGGGTAGGCGCGACCCTAGAATTCCCGTCAGCCTCATGCTACTGGTCGAAACCAGTAGTGGCTTGTCTGCGGATTTCGAACAACTGTTCCATACTGCTTAATTCAGACAATAGGTGACGTCGACTTCGACGAACAGTTCTTTCGGTTCGTCAGAGTCGTTGCAAAAGACAGACCAGGGGTGAAAACGATGTCAGTTTTGGACCTTCCTCTTCCGACTCAAAGCGCTTGTTTTTGTGTTACGCTACGGTTAGGGATAATGGAGAGATTGCGTGTTTTTAGTCTGCTTTAGACCAAATGTTACCTTTGCTGATGACTCACACTCATTGACAACCGTACACTCGGTTGATGTCAGACGCTAGGTCTACTCCTGTTCTATCCACACTGAGCCGTTTGACGACTTCCACCAACCCGGCTGTCAGTCGGCATGTGGTGAGTCGTAGACCCTAATCAAAACCTATTTTCTAAATCTACTCTGCATTTCGTGTCCAGTGCATGCCCTGCTGTATTTGAGTCTGACTAGCACTCCGTATTCATCTCCGTTCCTTGCTAGTCCATTCACTCTTCTGCCGTTTTTATCGATTTCGGCGTCCTGTGTGAACATTAGTGCAGCCATGGCACTCGATCATGCAAAGTCTCCAGTTCTAACGACAGGCCGTCCCTCCGATTTCATCTGCGGAGTGCAGTGTTCCTTTTCGGGAACGCTACCCTCATGTTAAGCACAGTTCGGACACTTCGAAAGCCCTCAGGTGCCTCCAAGTTGCGTGATTTAACAATTGCCCTTAAGATACGGATAGCAATCCTCTTCCTCATTGGTCCTAAACAAACTAGCTGGTTATCCACGATCCCAAAACCAGTTTGAGGCTGTTGTTCGGCCAAATCGGCTCTTAGTTTAGCTCACGACAGCAGTGGTTAAGGCAACGGCCTACCGGAAGGTCCGTATTTGGAGCCCAAAATGAGCACCTCGACTAATCCTGTCTCGGATTGGGTAATCCGGAGGTACCTCAGTCCTCGGGCCTCCTTCAGGTAGCATAGTGGCTAGACAACGAACGGGGGTTACCCCTTAAACGACTGAGTATTCGGCCAAACACTGATGAGGCAGCCCCAGCGAATACCACTTTATGATGGGCTGATGAACGTCTTGGAACTGCACCAGTGTCGGCTAGCTTCGTGCGGTGCGAAATGGCCCTATCTCCATAGCGCACTTGATACGGAGATTCAGGCCATTTACTCAAGGGTAACCCTCAATAGACTTGTACCGTTAGGCCATGACATAGGCATCGCTCATATACCGCCAAAATATTTTTGCTGTATCCGGTCAAAATCTCTTGTGCGATAACCTCCATGAAGCTATTGACCAAAAACTGGGGTATTGGAGGTTACATTAGTATTGCTAGTTGTGAGATGTTCGCGCATTCTTGTCTGGGGCCCAGACGACCCGGCCTGCAGATGACAAGGAGCTCTGTAGGGCAGGTCGCGAACGCCTGATCCTAGCGGCAAGCATACTGTTATTTCCTAGCTGGACTGCCTCGCTAAAATTCACCTGGTGTCGTGCGCTAGACTTATGTCGGGTGGGGTTCGCAAAGGACACTGGGTTAGTCTGCTGATAGCACCTTACTTCGACATGATGCTCAGACGCGTTTATTTCAATGCTGTCCAAAGGTGTAGACACCCTATTCTTGGTCATTTTCCTCAACGACACGTGGCTTCTTACCTCTCCTTCATACTTTTTATTGGAGCTTCCTCTCCTCGTGGTTATTTGGCAACTAAGCACCAGCATGGATCACTGAGGTTATGTTCTCAATAATGAAAATGAAGACCATCACAAGGACACACCATTGGACAAAAACAAAGCACTTGATCTACTGTAAGCTGTGTCCGATCTGGGAGTTTCGTCTACCAATGGCAACTGGTTGGCCATTTCCAAATGCCACCTTCAGCTCACCGTATGTGGAAACTTACGAGGCCGTCTAGTTCAAAGGTGAAAGCCGCGACTAGTACAGTCGTACGAATTTTAACACAAGCGCCTGGTTTGCAGGCAGACAGTACAGCGAACAAACTACGCCGTCTACCATCGGTCTAACAAGGGCGTCTCGTGGATTCCTAACAGACTGAAACAGTAAGGTCTATTTCTAGGGTACAGTCGATTCCGCTTGCATTGCACCAAATGTTAATCTACCCACTTCAGATACCACCCCGATACTTTATTATCAGCTGTTCTTACTCAATTAGAGGTCTCACTTAACTACGCAGCCCTTCAGATTGTCTGAAAACTTCGAGCCCTCAAAATCAGACCGATAGAAGCGGACCCAATCTAATTTCACTAGTGCGCAGGGGAAAAAGTTTCGTGGTGGAAACGAGGGATGAATAAACGCGGAAATCGGAAGGGAATCGCCTACACAGCTTACATCCATCGTATACTGACTAATAACCAGCAACTATTTACGATACCTACATTGAATACCCACAAAATTAGTGATACCCACAGAATCGTCGGTTTTGATAGTTTGCGGTGTTACGAGTGCCTCACCGGCAGAAAACTTGGTTCGTCGTCACCTAGAGACCGCCGCTTCCATTCATCCATATAGGTGACGTCAAGTCAACAGTCGAAATTCCAGACTACTTTAGCTCTGTTCAGACAGCTACAATGACGAAGATATATTCTGTGCTGACAACTTGTGGCGCGACTGCCATGCAGCAGTGAATCGTTGCAGCCTACTTATAGGCTTCGGCTCGAGGGTTTCGACGGTACCACAAAGCCTTCGATTACCGAGGACAACCTGAAGGGATTCTACAGAACGCTCGTCCTAGCGTACTGAGGAACGACGAAACTTGCCTTGGAGTTCCCACTCCAGAACTAATAATGGAACTGTCAATACACACACCTAGAACATCCACGAACCATTAGTCGCGCCTTGCCTGCTGGAAGAGCCATGCGTCAGGTTCACGCATCGCAGCCGACAATGTGCACCTACTACTCAGTACAATCCCAATGACCGACGGCAACATCAATGATGAAAGGGTCAGAGGGCAACTGTACTCAGTACAATCCCAATGACCGACGGCAAACGACAACATCAATGATGAAACGGTCAGGGGGCAACCCTCTCATATATTTAAGTACGCGAAACCAGAGGTGGCCAGAACGCTGGTACCACTCTGTCCGGTGAACCTAAAAGCTGAAGCCGTCTGACTAGCAAAAACTGAAATAGCTATGAGCAGCTCGAAACACATTTCTCTATCCGCTCAGCTAATTACGCCGATTTCAGTCAAGCTAGGTGACCAAGTGACCCGCGTGCGGAAGTGAACGTTGCTCCAGGAGACCAAGGCTTAAGGACGAACTAGTGACGACCAACAAAAGATTACGAGATACTCGGAGGGCCATCGTAACCGTCGGACTAAACCTAACAACCGGCAGAACAAGCTTAACAATTTCCTTCACTGGTCCTGCGTTGGGAGGGCACATGAATCTCAGGTGGGCATTTCCGGAAGCACCCCAAGCGGTTCCTGAACACACAAGTCGAGGACAACCCGCGGTGAAACAGACAACCGAGAAGCAACAAATCCAAGATGCTATCCCCGAAAACCCTGCGAGAAATCGGCATTAACAGCGGTGCCTCCACTCCCAGCTCGACTTTAGCTATGGGAAATCATAAGCACATAAGCGACACAATACTCCCCCGAGTCTAAACCCTATCCCAAAGACGCCACACCCGAACAAGCAGACCCGCCATCTGGAATGGCAAATCAACCCAGTAACACATGAACCAATAGTGTATACCTCGTCCCGCACTACGAACTACCTACGATAGCGATGCGAGGGTTCCCTCCCTTCAATCTTCGAGCCCATGTAGTCAGATCCCATGACACAATCGTTACCTTGCAAGCTAAAGTGGCCCTCAGGCGATGGAGACGACGGATAAAGTGCTCAACTGAGAATCATTCACCAAGCTAGACATCATTGGATAACCTAACGCATCAGCAAGGGGTAATATAGGTTACCGGGAGCGCAAGTCTCTACCCAGAGCTCAACGTTGAATTAAGGTAACGTCACCCACGCGTCACGAAAGAAGACTCAGAATGAGTGTATACTGCTTAAAATGGGATTCAGGTGAACAGCAATGCATCAGTAACATAGAAATGCAATTCACGCACATGATAGTTACAGCTGCCCGCAATCAGCAATAACCACCGTTTTGCTAGTTTTACCGCTGCTGGATCCGAGCGCCTCCATTTTTTTGACGACATCCATTCCTTCCTTGACTTCACCAAAAACAACGTGCTTATCATCCAACCAAGAGCAGGGAACCGTAGTGATGAAGAATTGAGATCCGTTGGTGTTTGGACCAGCGTTGGCCATCGACAGCAGACCAGGCTTCGTGTGCTTGTGTTTGAAGTTCTCGTCGTCGAACTTGTTTCCGTAAATGCTTTTGCCTCCCGTGCCGTTTCCAGCAGTGAAGTCACCACCCTGACACATGAATTGGGGAATTATTCTGTGAAATTTGGATCCCTTGTAGCCGTAGCCCATTTCCCCTGTGCACAAAGCTCGGAAATTTTCCACGGTCTTCGGCACATCCGCGTACAGCTGAAAGACATCTATCATGCTGATTAGGACCCCTTACCTCGAAAATAATACGTCCCAACTGGGAACCATCGGCAGTGATGTCGAAGAACACACGGGTGGCCATGACGCGGTCAAAGTGGCGTGCGTCCAAGGTCGAAGTTCAGTCTCAGCTTACTGACTTAAACACGACGACAAAATATTTGCACAAAGCTATCCTTCATGGAACACATGAATATCACAGCTACAACGATGGTTTTTTCCAACGTCAATTTGTTATATCACCACATCGGCGATATGTTTTCGGGGATTTTGTGGCGCGTGGTCTGAATATCCCTCAACTGAAATTAGCCGTTGGGTCGCTCGATATTCGCACAATGGAATTAAAGTTTCCAAAGCTACGGCGTGTCCATGATGAACTACGTCAATCGTTCAGTTGCTCCATAAACTCGGGTGTGACGGGATTCAAGAGAGAGTTCTGTATTGGGGCGTTCTTATCAGATTGATCATTCCGATTGAAAGTGGGCGCGACCTATTTATGGGCCTCCATCAGGATTCATCAAGGATCCGCTTTTGGTATATTACTGTTTCTGATATACGTCAACGACCTACCATTTAATTTAACCGACTACCTGAAATCCTGTATTTCCTATGCCAGTGCCCCTACGGTGATCCTTCTAACTATTGTACATTAGTGCTTACTTTGTAACTTATCATTACTCAAATTGTACCACTTTCTATCTCTCACTAAATCTCAGATTATTCCTCTTCTCTTCATACCGAATAACTTTTGTTTAAATGAACGCAAGTAAATATACAGGCATACACACAATACAAACTCTGTACTTCGTGAAAAGCGGACCTCGCCGTGTCGAGTTACGCCGTCAGTGAGTTAACGAGTGGTGATCTACCTTTCAGGCTACGACGGGATAGAAAATATCTAGGAATATATTAAGGAAGATTCCAGGAAGGAGATCGATTTAGATTTATTGTGGTGGTAATAACTAACTGTACCAACGAACTGTGAGTTGTATCATCTCGCCTA